TGGTATTCGAACTCGACTCTCCGATTTTTCATTCCGAGTCTTGATAACAATAGACTTTAGAAACCTATTTTCCTGAAAAAAAAACTGTTTTAAGTTAAAGATTTGATAAAATTTCAATCGGCGGTAGCACTAGATGCTCGGTCAATGAATGGCGAATGTTTCCTTATAAGGAAACAGCAAATATTACCATTACTATTAATCTAGAAGATACGTGAATTGGAATGAGCAAGAATAAATTAACTAATTAAAAAATAAAAGAAATACGACTTTTCGATATAAATATGCCGATAATGATTATGACAATTGTGATGTTGACAGAGTTCAAGGCGATGACAGTTGCGACTACACATGCCCGTCCGTGCCTACGTGCATATGTGCGTTGCATATATGCGCGCAGGCACCAGCCTTATGACGTATAGTTGCCATGGTGATGAGCTGGTAGTTGTCTTAAGAATTAAGGATAAGAGAGGTGCCGAGCTCTCCCACGAAGCATGACCACCCCCATCACACACCCGTTATCCCGCCCTTTCTTACCTCTTCATTACTCGTTCAGTGTTGAATTTCATTTTACAGCTTCCTTAACCGCAAGCCGCATTGTCGCTGCGTGTGGCCAACTGAACAATTTACGGTAATGTCTTATAATTTCGGCACTTTGTTTTATTAAACAAACTGGGCAACAAAGGAGATGAGGTCGTTGCTCATCCGACAGCCATATTGGTTCATTGAACTACTCATAATCACACGACCATATTTATTTTAAGATTTAGAAACCTATGTGCAAGTATTAAGCCAACATGATGTTTTCTTTGCACTTCCTTCTCACAGCCAGATAGTAACCTTGTATTTCCTAATGTCTGCAGTTATTAAAAGCAAGTTCGTGTCAGATTTCAAAATCACGCGGAGAAGTTGATAAACATCACCACCATTTTTTTTTGTTTCATTTTTTTAACTGTATTTTTGTACTTGTAAAATCAGTGATATCCATATTAGGCCACTTTCGTTAAGTGACTTACAAAATAATAGCTTAGTTTTAGCGCGTAGCCACAAATTTGGTGCGCACGCCAAGGATCACGCTCACTTGTCAATCATAATGGTCCACTACACTAACCCACCGTGAAGCGCCTCTTATTCACGAAGCTTAGCTTAGTTTTGCCACAGTGTCACAACTATAAGGCACCCAGTGAGAACCAAGCTCAATACTCAGTAGTACTATTCAATATGACACGGACATTAACCCTCATCGGTGCGTCAAAGGAAGGCTTTCGTAATTTTTAACTTTAGACTATACTTGTTTAGGCAAGCGAAAGAATGTGTATCATTTGAGTTAGCAAGCTTGTCTCTTTCTCTACGTTTATTTACCGAAAACCGTATCTATCAAGAGTAATAAGGGGAACACGAAATTTTAAATATGAATCCTGGTAAAAAGTCACAGGTGAAAATGTCACGGTAAAAACAGTTCACGAGACAAAAAAGAAATAGGACAAAGCACACAGTGAAAAAAAAAAATCAGCGGACAAAGTCAAGTCCCAGGTTCTTATTCCAAAAGTAGACAAAAACAGTTTCATAAATAAATTGAAAATTCAAGAAACTTTTAATTCAAATTTTAATATAAAGTCTAATGTGATACCCTATGAAATATATCGAACATGTGACCGTAACATTTTAGAAAAACGGTCTTTTGAGGTGAATCGATATACTATGAATTTCTGTTACAATCAGAACGGACTAGAATCAGATGACTTTATTACCGACCAGCGTAGATTAATTATGACTTTTTCCCTGTGACTTTATTGCTGGCATCGTTTAAATATAACCTCATTTCATAATTATTCTATCCAGGAGCTAAATTTTATTCTTTCGGTGGCATTGTTTCAATCGCTATGCATTCCACACTTTAGACAATACTCATGTTTGATTCAAACCCCCTAAGGATTTTAAAGGCAATTATTAAGTGCAGGATGGGCGTTGCCTAAGAGCATTTTCAGCGTTCGTAATGAACCAATCAAAATCATTGTGAATAGCGAGGAAGGAAGGAAAGGAAAGTAAAAAGGAAAGGATAGTTTGATTTCATCGCTTTAAGACAATTTTTTATGAATAAATAATTTGCTTAATCATTTCACCCCAAACAAGGCAATAAAGTTACTAAGACACAAGGGGTTACTGGGTGTAAAAGAATAAGAAAAAGAAAAAAAACATTATTAAGAAGCGAGAACAATGAAAGAAATTAAATCAAATAGACTGTAAATAACAATTGACATTGCATTAAAAGATTTTAAAGATCAAAGTTAGCTGGAAAGCAAGAACCGGGAAGAGAATTCCATGAGCAAGAGGTGCAAGAAAAGAAACTGTTAGCATAGAACTTACAGTTACATCAAGCCATTTCAGCTTTAAAATGATGAGACCTTTCCGCCAATCTAGTGCTGCGCTTCAATTCATAAAGTCTATATACCATAGAGGAAAGCTCAGAACAATGACCATGAATGAAGACTAAATACCCGGATGATTTCTAAAAGGTTCACCACAGATCTTTTTCTTTATGATAGCTTTTATAAGATGTGGGAAAACTAGTTATAAAATAATAAGGAAGATACCGAAAATATCATAAATGAGTTTACAAGGGAGAAGCAATTAATTAATTTCATTTTTAATCCGATATTATTTCTTGTTATTGAAATGGTTCTTTTAGTCGATACTCGTGTTTGAGTAGACGCCCTCACACCAAATAATAATAATAATAATAATAAACAGGGCGTCTACTCAAACATCTACAACAAGTACATTTGCAGTATTCTTCTTCTATATGCTGCGTCCAATCAGGACCTGAGCAATCATGGCTCTCCAGAACTTCCTGTCTTTTGTAATTCCTAGTAAATGTTTTTTCTATCATTCCTAATCCCTCTTCTGGCAACTATTTACACAAGTACGTTAGGGCGATTATTCACTGCAATCATCTGCTGCTCTTACCTTCGATATGCCCTGTGAGCATCAAATTCTTCAAGCCCTCTTTGCTCATTGTACCCTAGAATTTTTCTCTTTTTCATTCAGACTATAAGTGTCTTTTTGCTTCCATTTTCGCTGTAACTTCTTCGTTACTCGCATGTTCAGTTCATTGTATCCTCAGCAAAATTCTGTAGAATCACATTTCTTTTGCCTAAAATCTCTTCTTTAGGTGGGAAATTGTCCAACATTCACTGCCACATATGAAGACCAATATTACATAACTGTTCAGTACTATTTTCTTTGTTTCTAACGAAATTGTCCTGTTTCTTAATACTTTGCTTAGGCATCTTTTACTATTGCAATGCACTTTCGGTGTCACATTTTCTGTCTTCTGTTAAAACATTTCCTAGGTATTTTATATTTTTGTATTTACCTGATTTTGGTGTCTCCAGTTCATAGTTCGTATTTTGGAGCGTTCTTTTTGCTTTCTATAGGTGTTCATGTAGTTTCCTGCATATCGAGATTAAAATTGTGGCCGCCAATAATGAATCCTGGGGGAACTTCTACTTCTTTCTGGATCGCCTCACCGTAAAGGTTGAATGTCCGGTGAGAAGATACATCATTGTCTTACACCGCTGTTTCTTTATGTATATTTGCAGAATTCCTTTTCTGAAGGCGGTTTATCCCTGGGATAGGTTTTTGATTATTCTAATATATTTCTCAAACAAATCAAGCTTATCTAATTCTTTGCGACGTACTTTATGAAACGCGTTTGCATAATCTATAAAATATAGGTATATATCCATTTGTATTTGGATTACTCTTTCTGTTATCATTCTCAGCATAAATATCGCATTCTTTCTTCCAGTGGCTTGAACGAAACCGCAATGCCCTTGTCCTATTTCCGGTCTAATTTTGCTACTCGCTCTATTCTTGAGAAATCGGATGATAAACTTTGTTATGTAGCTCATTAGACTGAGTGTTGTACGGAATTCACATTCCTTTGAATCAAGCTCCTTACTCAGTGCTATAAAAATCAATCTACTTGGTTCTTTCGGTATCTCACCACTGTCGTATATTTTACTTATTATATCTGTAATTTTGTCAGAGCCGAAATCATCTAAAGGTACCAGCAAGGTCTTATCGTTTTACTGTTGAATCAGCTAGATGTAACCGTAAGTTCTATTCTCATAGTTTCTTCTCTCGCAGTTCTCACCTGTGAAACTTAATATTTCTGGTCCTTCCATATTTTTGTGTATGGTGTGTTTCTGTCTTTCGCCTTGGAACTGTTCTTCAATGTATTCGTTCCATTGCTGGACTATTTTTTTCTTTCTCTATTATCAGCGTTTCCGTTTTTGGTTTTATGGATTCTGTCGATGAAGCCGTCTTTCTGGTTTTTTTATTATTATTATTATTATTCTTTTATGCATATCTGCCTTGTATGTGAGGCTCATTCTTTCTTTTTGTGCACGCTTTTCGTTGGACCATTTCTCTTTTGCCTTTTAGCAAATAAAGCAAATAAAGAAAATGGTGTAGAGAATCGGAAAGGAAGATCTGGTAGAATGACTGCATATTGCGTTCGGCGTAGTTATTAAAACTTCTGTTAGAATGTTCCAGGCGATGTCCATGAAAGATGAGTTCCGAGATGTGGGAGGCACATTTAGACGGAAATTCGGAATACACTGAGTAAATAAAATTTCAAGGCCATGATGTCATGTTTCCACGAACCAATCTAGATCTACTTCCAACAAAGATACAACGTCACAGTCTTGCGAGCCAATCAGTTGTAATTTCCAAACGGGGTTTCCTTGTTCAACTAAGTGCCTACATAAAGTGCTAAATATCACTTCAATTAGGATTTTTATCAGTTCTCCGATATCATCGTAAACCACCACAGGGCCAAACTACTCACACATAATCGTAACATACACCCTAGCATATCGACATATTTGTCTTTCATTTCAACTAACCTGCAACAGTTTTCATGGATGACTACTACTCTACGCACTTACGCAGACATGTTTATATATACACACGAAGGAGCTTACGGTCACATTACATTCCCGTACGATCACCGAAGTTATGCAGCTTTGAACCTGGTCAGTACCTGGATGGGTGACCGTTTAAGAATACCAGGTGCTGTAAGCTTGAATGTGCGGGTGTTCTAGTGAATAATGGCTTGGAATTGTTAATCTGAGAGCCAAGTTCCAGTTTCAGTTAGGTTCATTCACTTACGCGCAAATACCCTTGGGAAAGGTAAGAATCCACCACTTCCCCCAACTATGGGTTAATTAGTAAGACTTGTATCACAAAACCATTACTATTGCAAAACATTTCTTCCAGGCTAAAACTATTTTCTGGCTTTAAATAACCTGCAAATGATTGATAAGCCGTAAAAAAAAAGAATCAATCAATCTAATCAATTTTTCGTAGGTACGAGGACATTTATCTTGGAACACTTGAGAAACCTAAATTAATCATTCCTCCTTTCTGTGAATGTATTAAAGCTCTCTATTCTATTATAATTGTGCCTGCCTTTCCCTTTTTTAGTTAGGACGACTGTTACGCCTTTTGCCAAGACGTCCTAAATAATGGACTAGTAGGAGGGGAAAAATATAACTTCGTTTCGGTGAGAAAATGAAAGAAAGAAAGAAAGAAAGTATTTAACGTCTCCTACCAATATTGGACTGTTCCATTTTGATTATGTGAAAAGAGGGGAAAGGATCTACTTGGTTTCTCTGAGAAAATGAATGAATTAATGAATTAATGAAAGAAAGAAAGAAGTGTTGAACGATTCCTGTGAATACCTCATAAATAATGGTCTATTCCGTTTTGATCACGTGAAAATAGGGCAAAAGGCACTACTTGGTTTCTCTGAGAAAAGGAAAGAAAGGACGAAAGAAAGAAAGAAGTGTTTAATGGTTGTTTTAATGAAATTGGTATAGTTGTCAATTTCAAAGCTTTTCATTTGTACCCACTTCTTAAAATAACTACCCGAATTCATATTTATAATTGTTATTGCAATATTTTGTTAAAGTTGTTAAGTTCAAATACTTGATAGGGGAATTTCTACGGATATTTTATTATCATTAACTTATTCAATTAGAAAATTCAAATAGGAAAACCATGTGAAATTTTCACGAGTCTTTCTAGTGGTTATTGTTATCCTTATTCTTATTATTATGATTGTTATTATTTCCCTTCATGACACAGGTGATCAGGGCTCTCCACAATTTCCTTTTTCTTTATTATCTGTGAATTGCCATGACTTCTGAGGATAGATAGTGGAGTGATTTCCATTTCTCTTCCCCATGGTTTTGAATTCTGAGATTTCCTTCTACTAGACTGGTTACTCCTACCTCACGTTAGAGAGATCCCTAGCCACCCATAACTGCGGGGAGAAGACATTGATCCATGATATTCACAAAAGCATTTGTGCGAAAATGCATATTCTTTTGATAATGGAATCACTATGTATTGAGTGCTCTATAAATTTGGCATTGTGCCATCGTTACCTTTGCGCTTCATATGACTTCAGGGAAATGAGGGCAATGAAAAAAAAATGAATGGGTTTCTTTAATGAAATGTTAATAATAAATACATTTACTAGTAACTTTTCCATACCATGACAATCTTTCTATGCTCTATATTGAGATGTAAGCAATCATGACTCCTCATATCTTTCCTTCATAATATTTTTATTACTCTAAACGTTATTTTAGTGGATGCCCGTGTTTGATTAGACACCCTATTTTTCTTTTGTTTTAAAAAGTGTAAAATACATCTTCCGGCCTGAGCATTTGAGTTAATAACGAAAATGTACTCCTGGCAATGTTCCAACCTGCGTCTCCTTTGTCGGGGAAAACAGCCATTTGCCCCTGTGTGCTTCAACAGTGATTTCCCTTAAAAAGGAGGCCGCAGGTTCGAACCTTGCCGGAAGTTATAAGTCGTTCGAATGTTATCTCCTGCTGTCTTATTATGTATACCAAGATTTTACTTGTTTGTAAATATAGCTGCTACACTCTGCAAAGACCGGACTCAATAACACAACGAAATTCATGGAAGTATTTGTAGCCAGAATGTCTTCGCCATATTCTGTCTTCATATATCTCCAGACTTTTCTTTCTTTCTTTCTTTCTTTCTTTCTTTCTTTCTTTCTTTCTTTCTTTCTTTCTTTCTAGCCAAACTTTAGATCTCATATGTATATAATAATGTGATTCTTTCAGTAATTACATAAATGCATATGAAATTGTTATGTTATCATAATTTTCCATCAGTATGGATTACAGAATCAATGAACCGTGTTCAAATAGATTGCGACGATTTTGCACGAATGCTCTGGGGAAAAAAACATGAAATGTTTTTTTTCTCGCTCAGTCTGTGATACACCGAAATTATGGCGACAAATTGAGAAGTCCTACCAGAAACCGGCAAGAATATCGAACCATCTAACATTCCTACACCGATGCAGAGACCTACAACTTATCCCTTCATACCTGGCACCAAGACTTACCGTCAATTGAAGAAGAGCCCGTCTGGACACAGAAAAAGCGGGGCACACCCTTGTCCGAGAGAATCCAATACAATCGTTGGATGAAACAAAGACAAGAAGCTCATATCTCCCAGAGCCTCGAGAATTTCTTTAACAGCATTACCAATGAAGAATACCGAAGATGTATCTAAAATGACCTGAATAAGTCTTTCAGACATGAATTCGATGTATTCAAGGCTCGCCAAGTACAAAAATTCAATAGATTAAAAGATCAGAAGGTGACACACACGGTCCATCACCCACCAGTGAAAGCAGTAGTCAGCATCAGCCAATATCAGCTGAGTGCCTCTGAGGAGTCAGTATTAAATAAGGGTCTCAATTTCGCCACAATCATCAGGTGAGTACCATACTTGGACATTGTTGCCAGAATTGAGGAGGCGGCCTTGAATTTCCCTCAGACTTGGGTAGATTAACTAAGATGGAAGGTGAGACAGACCTTGGAGAGAGTCAAGCCGCCCAAGTCAAACATCACGAAACTGAAGAGGCTAGCAATCAGATCCCTACAGAGGAACGAAAACATCATCATACTACCGGCTGACAAAGGCAATGCAACTGTAGTGATGAACAAATCAGATTATACAACATAGCTGGAAGGCCTCATTAGAAATGGCAGCTACAGCAAAGTAAAAAAGGATCCTACAATGAAAACAGAACGCAAACTGTCACAGATACTAATCAAGAACAAGGATCACTTCGAACCTAAGATGTATAAGCAGTTGACGCAGCGTTACCTCACATATACGGTCTCCCTAAGACGGTATTCCGCTCAGGCCGATTGTTAGTTGCCAAAGCCCTGTGTGCCACCCTCTGAGTCGTTTCCTTGAAGATATAATCACCTTCATATGTCTGAAACTCCGACAACTTCGTAGAAATAATCAAAGATGCCCCCATTCTATCCAACCAGATGGTGAGCTTGGACGTGGTGAGTTTGTTCACCAAGGTACTCACGGAGTAGTCAGAGACAGATTGGACTCTGACACATCCCTGGGAGAACGGACCAGTATTCTAATAGATAATCTGATGGGGTTTTTGACTTTCTGTACACAAACAACACTTTTCAGAATGGGATCATACATATATCGACAGGATGAAGGCTTAGCAATGAGCTCGCCATTATCACCAGCAAATATATACATGGAATACTTTGAAGAAGTGGCATTAGAATTTATATCTCTAAGGCCAACTCTATGGTTAAGATACGTAGATGACACCTTCATATTCTGGCCACACCAGGAAGATGTCCAGGTTCTATTGGACAATGTGAACTCAATAAGACCGATACAGTTCACAATGGAGAAAGAGAGTAACAACGTACTCCCATTTCTGGGTGTTCTAATATCTCGAACAGAGCATGGTTTCAAGACATTCATATACCGCAAACAGACATTCACCGGATAGTACCTCAATTTCAACTCCCACCATCCATACAGCGTAAAGAAAGGGATCGTCCGCTGCTTACAACACCGGGCAAAAGTCATAAGTGGCGACTCAGAGACATTAGATAAAGAATGGGTCATTATAAGAAGTACCCTATAACGTAATAACTACCCTGGGTACATGGCAGCAGACCCAATAAACTAGGATAAGCTGATACAAGAGAAGGACAACAACACTCAGAAAACAGTCTGACTGCTTTATGTGAAGGGGTTATCGGAGAAAATACAAAGGATCTGCGGTCCATATAACATCGGGACAACCTTCAAAAGCTGGACGACACTTGGCAGATACCTCTCCCGAGTAAGACTCCCACCATAGAGAACATGACTAAAAACTGTGTGTACGCCATTCCGTGCAGCTGCGGAAAGAAATATAAAAGGAAGACACCCGCCCCCTTAAGCCAAAGTTTGAAGAACACCAAAAAGCTGTAACACGAGGGAAGTGGGAAAATCAGGCGTGGCTGACCACGTATGGGGAGATAAGAGAAATCATTGCCCTCTGTGGGATCAGGTTGGAATCATAGACAAAGAACATCATTGGAAAATTCGTAAAGTTAATGAATCAGTACATATGCTAAGCTACTAAAATCTCCTGAGCCGACCAGGCATAGAAATGAATACAATATGGGAAAATTTAGCTTTCTATTGCATCTGATTTTGTTTTTATTACAGTAGTAGTTTTGTTAGGAAATGTGATATTGTATGAAAGTAGGCATCAATTTACCATGGAAGGCTATATATGATTGTCTTGGTCTTCTCGTCCTAAATTATAAAGATGGTTCTATTTACACTATTTTCATTCGAACTATTGTCCTCATCTTTGCTACCCCGATCGATATGCACTGATGAAGGCTGGATGGTACAATAGCCGAAACGTTGTAATAACAACAACAAAAATGAGAGCAGTAGCCCGAATATAAGTAGTGTAAATAATGATAACTCCTCATTCCAGAAATTCAGACAGAAAAGATGGTTCGAATCGTAATACCGATTTACTAAAAGGAGATTCCAGCGAAAGCACCAGTTGATTGTAATTCATTAGTTTTCGGCAAATTGACCGACTAAAAAACCAAATCTGCGCCATTCCCTTTCATCTTGTTGTTGACTCCAGCCACAGATGCCTATTAGTATTTTTTTTCTTTTTCTTTTCACAACTTT